GTCTATTCTATAGTCCAGACTATAGTCTATTCTATAGTTCAGACTATAGTCCATTCTATAGTCCAGACTATAGTCTATTCTATAGTCCAGACTATAGTCTATTCTGTAGTCCAGACTATAGTCTATTCTATAGTCCAGACTATATTCCAGGCTATAGTTCAGACTATATGCCAGGCTATAGTCCAGACAATATTCCAGGCTATAGTCCAAGCTATATTCCAGACTATAGTCCAGGCTGTAGTCCAGACTATAGCCCAGGCTATATTCCAGACTATAGTCCAGGCTATAATACAGATTATATTCTGGACTACAGAATAGACTCTATCCTGAACAATAGTTTAGTCTGTAGTCCAGACTATAGTTCATCTTATAGTCTATTCTATAGTCCAGTCTATTGTTCATTCAATAGCCCAGACTAAGGTCTGTTTTATAGTCCACACAATAGTCAATTATATAGTCCAGTCTATAATGTGGAATATAGCCTGGACTATAGTCTGGATTATAGCCTGGACTATAGTCAGGCCTATAGACTATAGAATAGACTATAGTCTGGACTATAGAATAGACTATAGTCTGGACTATAGAATAGTCTATAGTCTGGACTATAGAATAGACTATAGTCTGGACTATAGAATAGTCTATAGTCTGGACTAATAGGAATAGACTATAGTCTGGACTATAGAATAGACTATAGTCTGGACTATAGAATAGACTATAGTCTGGACTATAGAATAGACTATAGTCTGGACTATAGAATAGACTATAGTCTGGACTATAGAATAGACTATAGTCTGGACTATAGAATAGACTATAGAATGGGCTATAATCTGGAATAGACTATAGACTAGAATAGACTATAGTCTATACTATTGAATAGACTATAGTCTGGACTATAGAATAGACTATAGTCTGGTTTATAGAATAGGCTATAGTCTGGTTTATAAAATAGGCTATAGTGTGGATTATAGAATAGACTATAGAATAGGCTATAGTCTGGGTAGTCAAGGGACTATAGTTTGATCAGTTTCTTTAGAAAATCGATTTCCTCGTTTTGGATTTCTGTAGTAAATTATTCTCACTTTGATTAGTTAATGATTGAGGATTGACTGAAAGATTTGTTATAAGTTTTCTTAAGAAAATTTATCGCTCACTGAACGTTTTTCTGTAGAAAAATATTATTGTGGACTACATGCTAAACTTTAGACAATAAGTATTATTTTAAAACATTTTTTATTCTAAAATGTAGAGTGTTTTTAATATACAATACTGCCTGATGTAGTGAAAATGCTTTTCCCCCTTTTGCATTAACCAGAATAGGGGGAATATGGGGAAAATGTGTTGAAAGCTTTTATTTCTTTTAGAATTTTCACTTAAAAGTGAAACGATTTTTTAACATCAATTCAAATGTTGGTGAAAAATTAATGAGTAGTATTTTTCAAACGCTGTTAGTGTAGTGAGTGGTTTTAGCAATTTTTTCTTGTTTTTCTAACATTGAAGTGATTTTTATTAGAGAACTTTTTAAGTTTTTCTGTATTTTCAGGGTGAAATGAAAATGTAGCAATATTAAGGCATTAATGAGAATAAAGTTGCAGAAAGTAAAATACAAGTGCAATAAAACTAAGATTTGTATGCAAACGAAACACTAGACTTGGTAATGAGCAAATGAGGAAAATGAAAGGAAGTTTTTTTGTTTAAAGATGTTGGCTTATTAAAAAGCGCTGCGTTATATTTCTTATTTATATGAATTCTATTTTTTTGCGATATCTAATTTAATTTCTACTTTGTCTTTGGCACTTTATCAAAATGTCAATTACATTGTTTCTTAATTATTTTATTACATTTTGCCTTTGTCTGTACTTAGTCTGAGAAGACGTGTGACAACTTTACATTGAGAAGTAATTTAAAAAATTCCTTTTTAACAAAAATTACTTAACAAATTCCAGTTAACACTTCCCTTTTTCGAACAGTAATGAATACTAAATAAAAATTCACTCTACTTATGTATGTATGTGTTGTAATGAAAGTTTGGAGGTCATGTTTGTAATTCAAAACCCTAAACAAGCTGCTGTGTGTACGAAATGTTTGGAAAAAAAAACAACAAGAAAATTACTTAAAATTCATACAACTGCAAATAATGAAAAGAAATATAAGAAAAACTCATTGTGTATGCTGGTCATTGTTTTTAATATTTTACAACAGCAAATACAAAAAAAAAAAAAAAAAAACAGACAAATACACTTGTATTTTTTTGGCCACATTATGAGAATCCTTTGAAAAGTTAAGAATTCTTTATAGTTTTTTGTGAATGTGTTAAATTACTCTGTATATGGGTGCATATATTTTTGTATTTGCCCTGCAGTAGTTTTGACTTATCTACAGAAAAGACACTTCACTTCATCATAAGTAAAACTCAGCTACTATTTCCCTATTACAAGATACTTATGTACACTCCTTACACCGTTGGACACTTGAACTTTCGTTATCCTTTAAAAGAAAACAAAACTCGAGAGCACAAAGGGTATGATGACATTTTCTTACAAAATAAAAAGGCATCTGTTATTGACATTTCTTAGTTTTAACAGTATTATTTTGTTGTTAGTATTGTAGTCTTTATACCTTTTATCGACTGATTTCTATAGTTAGTTGTTTCTTTTTCATTTTTGCTTTTGAAATGAAAATTCATTATTTCTCCTTTTATTATTAGATTTTTTGGCTTTTTTGCAATGTAAGCATTAAAATGTATTAATTTAGGGTAAACAGGTCAATTTGGGTGAGAGAAATAGAAAAACTATAATCAGAAAATTATATAGTTTTGACTTTAGTCATGACAATAGTATGTACTATGGTCTTGACTATAGCGTGTCTGGTCTGGGCTATAGCCTACACCATAGTCTTGACTATAGCCTACACCATAGTCTTGACTATAGTCTGCACTGTAGTCTTGACTATAGTCGGCATTATAGTCTGCACATAAAGTATTGACTATAGTCTGCACTATAGTCTTAACTATAGTCCGCACAATAGTCTTGACTATAGTCTTGACCATAGTCTGTACTATAGTCTTGACCATAGTCTGACTATAGTCTCGACTATAGTCTGTACAATAGTCTCGACTATAGTCTGTACTATAGTCTTGACTATAGTCTGTACTATAGTCTTGACTATAGTCTTGAATATAGTCTTGACTATAGTCTTGAATATAGTCTTGACTATAGTCTGTACTATAGTCTCGACTATAGTCTTGACTATAGTCTGTACTATAGTCTCGTCTATAGTCTGTACTATAGTCTCGTCTATAGTCTGTACTATAGTCTCGTCTATAGTCTGTACTATAGTCTCGTCTATAGTCTGTTATATAGTGTTGACTATAGTCTGTTATATAGTGTTGACTATAGTCTGTACTATAGTCTTGACTATAGTCTGTACTATAGTCTTGACTATAGTCTGTACTATAGTCTTGACTATAGTCTGTACTATAGTCTTGACTATAGTCTGTACTATAGTCTTGACTATAGTCTGTACTATAGTCTTGACTATAGTCTGTACTATAGTCTTGACTATAGTCTGTACTATAGTCTTGACTATAGTCTGTACTATAGTCTTGACTATAGTCTGTACTATAGTCTGCACTGTAGTCTTGACTATAGTCTGCACAATAGCCTATTCTATAGTCCATTCTATATTCCCGGTTATAGTCTATTCTATAGTCCAGACTAGAGACCATTCTATAGTCCAGACTATAGTCTATTTTATATTCCGACTATAGTATATTCTATAGTCCAGACTATAGTCTATTCCGTATTCCAGACTTTAGTATATTCTATATTCCCGGTTATAGTCTATTCTATAGTCCAGACTATAGTATATTCTATAGTCCAGACTATAGTCTATTCCATATTCCAGACTTTAGTATATTCTATATTTCAGACTATAGTCTATTCTATAGTCAAGACTATAGTCTATGCTATAGTCCAGACTATAGTCTATTCTATAGTCCAGACTATAGTCTATTCTATAGTCCAGACTATAGTCTATTCTATAGTCCAGACTATAGTCTGTTCTATAGTTAGTTAGTTTGAAAGGAGGATGTATATACATCAAATCCGAAGAAATACACCTAGGCCTCTATCGGGCCTGTTGTGCGCTCCTTAACCAGTGCCTCAGGTGGGAATCGAACCCACCACCTCCGGTCTACCAGACTAGAACACTAACCCCTAACCTACCTGGACTATAGTCCAGACTAGAGTATATTCTATAGTCCAGACTATAGTCTATTCTATAGTCAAGACTATAGTCTATTCTATAGTCCAGACTATAGTCTATTCTATAGTCCAGACTATAGTCTATTCTCTAGTCCAGGCTATAGTCTATTCTCTAGTCCAGGCTATAGTCTGTTCTATAATCCAGTCTATAATATATTCTATAGTCCAGTCTATAGTCTATTCTATAGTCCAGACTATAGTCTGTTCTATAGTCAGAACCATAGTCTGTTCTATAGTCCAGACTATTGTCTATTATATAGTCCAGACTATATCCTATTCTAAATTCTATTCTAAAATCCAGACTAGAGACCATTCTATAGTCCGGACTATATTCTATTCTATAGTCCGGACTATATCCTATTCTATAGTCGAGACTATAGTGTATTCTATAGTCCAGACTATAGTCTATTCTATAGTTCAGACTATAGTCTGTTCTATAGTACAGAATGTGGTCTGTTTGGCTATAGTCTGTACTATAGTTTTGACAATAGTCTTGACAATAGCCCTGATTATAGTCTGTACCATATTCTTAACAAGAGTCCATTTTTCACCTTGACTTATGAACACCATGACGTATAAGTGATGTAAATATTTGAATAATATTATACATGAAATTTTTTGCATATTAAAAGCATTTTTTACACAAAAATAGCTGCAAAACATTTTTGTTAAATATTTATTACATGTTGCTGTTATTTTTGTTCTTCAAAAGAAAAATTGTTTCCATGTTAAACTTACCACGTGCTCGTGGTTTGGTCAGTAACTTTTGTACAATATTATCGTATGCAATTTCATCGGCCACACCAGAATCCTTAACCAGTTTCTCTTTAACAGCAATGCAAATGCTATGACGGGCCAATAATTCTTCCAATTCCTCGAAAGCCTGTAAAGCGTAGAAAGGAAATTGAAAACAAAAAATAAATAAACATTTATTAAAAATTTTTAATATTCTTACCTTTATGCCATAATTACTTTCTTCGTATATAATGGAGACATAACTCCAACCCATGCGTTTGACTATTTCCACCATGGCCTTAACTTGATAGTGATCCGAGGGTATGGTGCGTGAGAAATATTCAAAACGTTGTTTATTACTTAGCTCAGGACTGGTGGAGAAAAAGGAGACCTGGAATAAATAAATTTTTTCAAATTTTATTATAAAAAAATGTTTATCTTATATTTCACTTTTTTTATAAATTATTGTTTTGTTTTTGTTGTTCTAATTTTGTTATCTTTTGTTGAAAGTTGTGCTTTTTATGTTAATTCTATTTTTACAACTAACACCTGCAGCTAAATGCAAACTTTTTTTCGAACTTGTTGTTGTTGTTAAGACATAAAGCAAAATCAGTTTTATTTAAACTTTTTCTTTTTGCGGTTATAAACCTTAAAACACAGTGGTTTAAAGTAAGTTCATAGTTATAAAATGTCTGCTACAACGGAAATAAACAAAACATACTTTTTGTTATGCAGAAAAACGTGGTTAATGATTCTTTAGATGTAGACAAACAGAGAGAAAGGATTTCGAAACTATAGCATACTTTTTGGTTTACAGACAGAAAACATTTAAAAACAGTGGGATATATATATATATAAACGCATCTTAATATTAAATGTCAAACGCTATTTAAACATTTGAAAAGTTTTTCATAAATATAAATTTAAAAATTTCCATTTTTACCTTTTCTTAGTTCTATTTGCTGCGTTTTCCTTTATCAAATGCGAAAAATTTCATTACATGTTTGCCGTGGCATTTAAATTCATGAAATGTCATGCTAGTTGGTTTTCTTGTCACGTTTTACATTTCAGTTTCTTTTCACAAATTGTGCAATTTCTTTACAATTAAAAGCAGTTTTACCTGCATTTGATTTTTAGCAAAAAGGAAAACTTGTAAAAATGGGGAAAAAGTTACAGATAGTTTAACTTAAACATTGATACCCTACAACATGAGAAAAGTTAGCCACAAAGGATACAGTCTGTAAGTAGTATAAAAGTTTAAAGTTTATAGTCTAGTCTATAGTCTAGTCTATAGTCTAGTCTATAGTCTAGTCTATAGTCTAGTCTATAGTCTAGTCTATAGTCTAGTCTATCTAGTCTAGTCTAGTCTATAGTCTAGTCTATAGTCTAGTCTATAGTCTAGTCTATAGTCTAGTCTATAGTCTAGTCTATAGTCTAGTCTATAGTCTAGTCTATAGTCTAGTCTATAGTCTAGTCTATAGTCTAGTCTATAGTCTAGTCTATAGTCTAGTCTATAGTCTAGTCTATAGTCTAGTCTATAGTCTAGTCTATAGTCTAGTCTATAGTCTAGTCTATAGTCTAGTCTATAGTCTAGTCTATAGTCTAGTCTATAGTCTAGTCTATAGTCTAGTCTATAGTCTAGTCTATAGTCTAGTCTAGTCTAGTCTATAGTCTAGTCTATAGTCTAGTCTATAGTCTAGTCTATAGTCTAGTCTATAGTCTAGTCTATAGTCTAGTCTATAGTCTAGTCTATAGTCTAGTCTATAGTCTAGTCTATAGTCTAGTCTATAGTAGTCTATAGTCTAGTCTATAGTCTAGTCTATAGTCTAGTCTATAGTCTAGTCTATAGTCTAGTCTATAGTCTAGTCTATAGTCTAGTCTATAGTCTAGTCTATAGTCTAGTCTATAGTCTAGTCTATAGTCTAGTCTATAGTCTAGTCTATAGTCTAGTCTATAGTCTAGTCTATAGTCTAGTCTATAGTCTAGTCTATAGTCTAGTCTATAGTCTAGTCTATAGTCTAGTCTATAGTCTAGTCTATAGTCTAGTCTATAGTCTAGTCTATAGTCTAGTCTATAGTCTAGTCTATAGTCTAGTCTATAGTCTAGTCTATAGTCTAGTCTATAGTCTAGTCTATAGTCTAGTCTATAGTCTAGTCTATAGTCTAGTCTATAGTCTAGTCTATAGTCTAGTCTATAGTCTAGTCTATAGTCTAGTCTATAGTCTAGTCTATAGTCTAGTCTATAGTCTAGTCTATAGTCTAGTCTATAGTCTAGTCTATAGTCTAGTCTATAGTCTAGTCTATAGTCTAGTCTATAGTCTAGTCTATAGTCTAGTCTATAGTCTATAGTCTAGTCTATAGTCTAGTCTATAGTCTAGTCTATAGTCTAGTCTATAGTCTAGTCTATAGTCTAGTCTATAGTCTAGTCTATAGTCTAGTCTATAGTCTAGTCTATAGTCTAGTCTATAGTCTAGTCTATAGTCTAGTCTATAGTCTAGTCTATAGTCTAGTCTATAGTCTAGTCTATAGTCTAGTCTATAGTCTAGTCTATAGTCTAGTCTATAGTCTAGTCTATAGTCTAGTCTATAGTCTAGTCTATAGTCTAGTCTATAGTCTAGTCTATAGTCTAGTCTATAGTCTAGTCTATAGTCTAGTCTATAGTCTAGTCTATAGTCTAGTCTATAGTCTAGTCTATAGTCTAGTCTATAGTCTAGTCTATAGTCTAGTCTATAGTCTAGTCTATAGTCTAGTCTATAGTCTAGTCTATAGTCTAGTCTATAGCCTAGTCTATGGTCTAGCCTATAGTCTAGTCTATAGCCTAGTCTATGGTCTAGCCTATAGTCTAGTCTATAGCCTAGTCTATGGTCTAGGCTATAGTCTAGTCTATAGCCTAGTCTATAGCCTAGTCTATGGTCTAGGCTATAGTCTAGTCTATAGCCTAGTCTATAGCCTAGTCTATGGTCTAGGCTATAGTCTAGTCTATAGCCTAGTCTATGGTCTAGGCTATAGTCTAGTCTATAGCCTAGTCTATGGTCTAGGCTATAGTCTAGTCTATAGCCTAGTCTATGGTCTAGGCTATAGTCTAGTCTATAGCCTAGTCTATGGTCTAGGCTATAGTCTAGTCTATAGCCTAGTCTATAGTCTAGTCAATAGTCTAGTCTATAGCCTAGTCTATGGTCTAGGCTATAGTCTAGTCTGTAGTGTAGTCTATACTGTATAAAATTTTGTCCCAAGCTAAACTCTCTCTAGTAAACTTTGTCCCAAAGTGTGTTCTTTAAAGAAAATTTTGTGCCAAAGATGAAGAACATTTTCCTCCAAGTATGATTTTCTTTAAAAGGTTTTATCTCATGGCGAGCCAACATAAGGTAGCTAATCTCTTCCACAATTTCCACGTTTAACCAAATAGAACTAATGTCAGTTTTACTTTCATTTTATATAAAAATAGAAAAAAACCAAGAAAAATTTTCTTTTGCAAATTTTCCAAATTCAGAACTGACACACAACGAACCAAAAAGAAAAACCACAGCAATATTGCAGCATCCTTAAATAAACAGCAGTAGCAGCAACGTCTATGTGTATATGTGTGTGTAACAGTGGCAAAGGCGAATTTATTTTATTTACTTTTTTATTTTTTTGTGGCTGCCACATTTTGTTGGTGCTATGCTGGATGCTTTGGCATTACGAAACGAATGTTTTTGATGCTCTGATGCTATTTTTCTGTTGTTTTTTTTTTTTTTTTTAACGAATGCTACAGGCGTGTCACATTTAACGCTTCAATGTTTATACTTGGATGCGTTTGTATTATTGTTATTATAATGTTATTTTTTATTTATTTATTTTTTTTTTGGTAAATTCTATAATTTTTATGCTATAAAATTTTTATGTTATTTTTCTTCAATTGCAGTTTTTGTTTGGAATAGATCTAAACAAAAATGAGGTTTATTTATATATAATGTGTACTTATAATTATAATATATGTGTAATAAATATATAATAATATATATATGTGTACTTATATTATTTTGCTATAAATATATAATATCATTAAATATTTAATTAAAGTTTTTTGTCAGGAATATAAGAATATATTTTTGTGCCAACAAAACATCTTTAATTGGAAATTAATCTGAGCTAAAGCTCACTTTATAGTAAATGTGCGACAAGTGTTTTGTGGGTTTCATAATTGGCGATTTTAGCACGACAAACCATTATCGTCCAGGAATGCAAAACATATTTGACGTTAAAAAATTAGTAGTTTAATCGAAGAAGATTATTGTGTAACTGGGCAATTGATTGATTGATGTTTTTTATTAAAAACCTGATTTTAGTTAAAAATTAGATTCTTCCATGATTATTGTGTTACTAGCGAATTATTGATTGATTTTATTTAAAATTTAGGTTTGAATTAAAATTAAGATTTTTCGTCAGTAGATCCGACTTTTCATTAAAATATAATTTCCCCTAAAAATCCGATTTTCACTAAAAATAAATTTTTCACATATTTTTTTCACAAAAAACTTGATTCTTTTTCAAAAATCAGATTTTTCACAAAAAATTGGATTTTTAAAATCCAATTTTTTACTAAAAATCCAATTTTTCATTAAAAATCCAATTTTTCACTAAAAATGCAATTTTTCACTAAAAATCCAACTTTTCACTGAAAATCCAATTTTTACTAAAAATTCGATTTTTTCACTGAAAACCCGGTTTTTCGCTAAAGGTCCAATTTTTCACAAAAAATCCGTTAGTTAGTTAGTTTGTTAGTTTGTTAGTTAGTTAGTTAGTTAGTTAGTTAGTTAGTTAGTTAGTTAGTTAGTTAGTTAGTTTGTTAGTTAGTTAGTTGTTAGTTAGTTAGTTAGTTCGTTAGTTAGTTGTTCGTTAGTTTAGTTCGTTTTAGTTATTAGTTTTGTTCGTTTTAGTTCTTCGTTCGTTCGTTGTTCGTTCGTTCGTTTCGTTCGTTCGTTCGTTTCGTTCGTTCGTTCGTTCGTTCGTTCGTTCGTTCGTTCGTTCGTTCGTTCGTTTCGTTCGTTCGTTCGTTCGTTGTTCGTTCGTTCGTTCGTTCGTTCGTTCGTTCGTTGTTCGTTCGTTAGTTCGTTAGTTCGTTCGTTTAGTTCGTTCGTTCGTTTTTAGTTTGTTCGTTGTGTTCGTTCGTTCGTTAGTTTAGTCGTTCGTTCGTTCGTTCTTGTTAGTTCGTTCGTTCGTTCGTTCGTTCGTTCGTTCGTTTCGTTCGTTCGTTCGTTATTTTTCGTTAGTTTCGTTTTTCGTTCGTTTCGTTAGTTCGTTTCGTTCGGTTCGTTCGTTCGTTCGTCGTTCGTTGTTCTTTTGTTCGTTCGTTTCGTTCGTTCGTTCGTTTTCGTTCGTTCGTTCGTTAGTTCGTTCTGTTCGTTGTTTT